AGAATCAGACTCTTCAAAAGCCAGCACTTCAGAATTGGAAGTTGCAAAACATGAGAAACCTGTTTCCATATGGGCTGGATTTCTTGAGCTATTTAGAACTAAATCAAGAAGATACTTAGCTAAGGATCCTCTGAGTTCTCTCAAACTATCGAAACGATTTAGTAGCAGCATGAGAGAGTTAGTTGGGGTTGCGAAAAATCCCATTGTTGATGCTGATTTGAATTACTTCAGGCCTCAGAGGAGGAATTTCACCCTCTCTGAGCTCCTAGCTGCAACCAACAATTTCCACCAAGGTTAGTAATCTGCTTGGAATTTCACATCTTATTAAAGTGAAAAGGATCAAACGTACCTTTGTTATACGAAATATCTTAATTATGCCCTTTGTTACCATTTTCGTTAGCAAATCCCGCATTTGCCCTTGACCCTAATAGAGCTCCAACCTTCAACCTGAAGTAGGTAGAATACTTTGACACGTGAAATTCACCCAATCCAAGCTGCTGTTTTATTTAAGGTTGGAGCTTTGTTAGGGCAAGGGGAAAATACGAGATGATTTCCTAATGACAAGGATATGAATAGCCCCAAAGTCTACGAGGTAAAAGCAAAATACTCAATGTAGTATCGGGATAAATTTGGACCTTTATGCTTCGGTTAAATTTGTTGTATCATGATAACTTCTCGTGTAGCTTCTGATGGCCATTTGCAATTTTGTTCTGTAGAAAATTTGATAGGAAAGGGTGGTTATGCAGAAGTTTACAAAGGATGTTTAAAAAGTGGCCAATTTGTTGCAATTAAGCGGCTCACGAAGGGAAAGCAGGATGAGAGAACTGGGGATTTTTTATCTGAGCTGGGGATAATGGCCCATGTCAACCATCCAAACACTGCTAAATTGATTGGTTATGCAGTTGAAGGTGGATTCTATCTTGTTCTTGAGCTGTCTCCTAATGGAAGCTTGGCCAATATGTTGCAGGGTTCGTCCCTCTCATGGTCTCAAATATGGTGTCTATTTTTTACTTGGTTTATATTTCTTTACTGATTTTGCTTAGTGTTTTAAAGTGTCAAAGCAGAAACTAGACTGGAAAATCAGGTATAAGGTAGCTGTTGGGGTGGCTGAAGGGCTGCGATATCTTCATGAGGGAGGTCAAAGAAGAATTATCCACAGAGATATTAAGGCTGCAAATATATTGCTTACTAAGGACTTTGAACCTCAGGTAATATTATGACTATTATAGAGCTTATTGGTATCAACTAAACTCTACTTACTGGAAATAGTATTTTAAATTTCTCTCTTACTGACTTTTGGTATCTATCAGAAACAGACTCTCTGTCCTTCCAGGGTAGGGATAAGGCTACGTACATCTTACCTTCCCCATACCCCACTTGTGGGTATTCACGGGACATGTTGTTGTTGTTGTTGTTGTACTGACCTTTGGTATCAAGTAAATTTATCCTGACGAATCTTTTATAAGGGTCTCAGGTGCTTGAACCTCGAAAATTTTCTGTTTCCATTTCAGATTTGTGATTTTGGCCTTGCTAAATGGTTGCCAGAGCGATGGACTCACCTCACTATATCGAAATTTGAGGGCACATTTGGGTTCGTAGAGCTTCCTCAATTTCTTGTACTTGCAGCTAAGGTTTCTAATTTAGTATCAGTTTGTGTGTTGCTAAATCTTCTTATTGAACTTTGTAATTGATGATGCAGCTACCTTGCTCCAGAGTTCTTAATGCATGGCATAGTAGATGAAAAAACTGATGTTTTTGCTTTTGGAGTGCTAATCTTGGAACTTATAACTGGACGTCGAGCACTTGATTACACACAGCAAAGCCTTGTCATATGGGTATGCCTCTATACTCTCTCTATTATCTTACTCACCATTGTATTTGAAAAACAGTTTCTGAATATTTCCTCTTTGCTTTTCCTAGGCCAAACCCCTGCTGAAGAAGAACAGAATTCGAGAGCTTGTTGATCCTTCACTTGCTGATGACTACAACTTATTGCAGATGAACCTCATGGTCTTGGCTGCTTCCTTGTGTATACAACAGTCTTCCATTAGACGTCCGCGAATAAGTCAGGCAAGTGCTGAACATTACTTGATCAATTTAAATTTCTATACACACAAGGCTATTCAGACAAGTTCCTGATCAAACCACTATGATAATTGAGGTGGATGTATTGAACTCTAGGTTTCGAATATTATTGGTGTTCTTTTACTCCATATGCTATACTCTATATTATAATGGTTCCAATCTTGGCAATTTTTATGTATTCTCATTTTTTCTTTCGATGGTTTTTATTGATAGTATTGATATATTGTCTCTTTTCATCTTCTATTCGTCTTCTTGAGCTAAGGGTCTATCGGAAACAGCCTCTCTACCCCCTCTGGGTAGGGGTAGGGGTAGGGGTAAGGTCTGCGTACACACTACCCTCCCCAGACCCCACTTGTGGGATTTCATTGGGTCGTTGTTGTTGTTGTGTCATTTGTGAAGAACTGAATTGAGCTTTGGATACAGGTTCTGCAGCTTCTCAAAGGGAACCGTGGCAGCCTAGATATAATCAGGAGATGTAGAAAATCCTCCCATTGGAAGAGGCATTATGAACAACTCTTTAGTGCAGAAGAATGCAAAATGATCAGGGGTTTAAGTGGTTTAAGCATGCAGCAACAGATACCAATTGAAGTCTGAGATGACTCTGACTTAAGGCGCAAACTGTAATGTTGGGTTGACAAAACAAACCACACTCTTTAATAGAGGAATAGGGGATTTAGGACCTTCGATTAATGGAAAGCATGGAATTATGCATCTGCTCGTATTTTTCTCCCTGCCCCATCATGAGACCTACCAAAGTACGAACGCAAGGATGAGAGGCGGAGCACGATTTGAAGTTTATGGGTTCGGAATTTTAGTTCTTTTAAGTTAGTGAGTTCTAAATTAACAATTTGTACATATTCAATGAACTTCTTAAGATAAATATCGGGTTTGGACCAAAGCCACTGAATTCGGCTAAACCCCTAACCTAAGAGCTAGCTCCGCCCCTGGCAAGGATCTACAGTCAGTCCGCGACTACTGGAAGCCAAAGGCGTCCTCTAGCTACTGACAATGGTAAATAAATGTAGTCGTCACACATTTACATTAAAATTAAAAAAGAAGTGATAATAGTCACTATAATTATAGTGAAAGAATTCTTTATTTCTAATTCTATGATGCAATTGGAGGTTATCGGCAGAAAAGAATGACATAATTTAAGGAGAAAAAACACATAAATATGCCAAAGCAAGTTCCGTTGAACTCCCTGAATGACACTAACATTAGTGCAATTGTCATCGGTCAATAAAATGAGAGTGTAGAATGATATTAACATTAGTGTGCTCAATATTAAAATTTTAAATTATTTGAATGGACTACAAATTTTTTCTGGCTATAATGAGCTTATAAAAATCTGCTTCTTACTTCCAACTAGGGGTGTACAAAAAAAACCGAAAAACCGCACCAAATCGATAATTCGAGTCAAATTGAGAAAAAAAATCCGACTATGGTTTGGTTTGGTGTTAGAAAAAAAAATACGACCATAATTGGTTTGGTTTGGTTTTAACTAAAAAAGCCAAACCAAAATCAAACCAACCCGACATTACATGTATACAAGTTTTAAATTATTTTATACATAAAAATAATTATTGTAATGTGAGTAATTTATAAATATTTTTTAACCTTTTTCATAGTTCTCTCTTTTAATGTATTATTTCAAGCTTTGATTTAGAATTTTTGAATGGTCAAATATGTTTTATAGCCCATAAAAATTAGTGACTCAAATAAATTCCAAAGCAAAATCAAATCAATAAAAAATTAAAAAAAAATTCAATTCGATACTAGGAATGACAATAGTATTGGATATTTATTTTCTTATTTTTCATTACTTTAGATAGTGAAAATACATAACTTACTTTTAATATTATTTAGTCATGTATTTAATACTTAGTACTTATTAGTCGTGCTTATTTTAACATGATTTAGTACTTTTAGATTATATTTATTTTTATTATGGCTTATTAATTAGCAATATTTATTTTATGCAATTTGTTGACTTTTTTAGTATAATCATGACTCATCTCATATTATTTTATATTATTTTATTGAGTAACATCTTATATAATTTTATCCTACTAGGACCTAAGAAATATTATAGCACAAATTATAAATTTTATGCTATGAAGATTTTGTCGGAAAAAACCCGAAAAACCCGAGATTGAAAAACTCGACTTTTGTTGGTTTGGTTTAGTTTATAGATTTAAAAATCTGAGACAATTGATTTTATTTGGTAATTGAAAAATCCAAACCAATCCGATTCATGTTCACCCCTACTTCCAATGCAGTTATATAGCCAAAAATTATATCCTCCCTCTTATCTTTATTTTTTCCTTCTTCTTCCGGGATTCATCTTTATATCTGAAATGAGTTTGTCCAGAAATTATGCTTCAACCAAAAATTAATCTGCAACCTCGTGTTTTCCATAGCTTAACCCGTTTCTAATTTCGTCCATATCTTAAGAATTAGAAGACTACATTGAAAATATTAAGTTTATCTACTAACGACATCGAAAAATTACATGTTTAGTGTATTTTGATCAATTTCAACAGTCATACACGCTCTTTTTACGTTTAACAAATCGATACTTACATCATATCATCAACTATAATTATTTTTTAAATGATTTAATAGCGTAAGTATTTAATTATATGTCAATAAAGGTAACTGTTTGGCCATTGACCGTCGACTATTGAATTTAATTTCAAATTAATTGATTTTAGCAAGAAAAGGAATTAAATTAACTCATTCTTCTCCACATTAAAAATTTGCAGCAGTACGAGTTAATATTAGGACTAAAAGTGAAACCTTTTCAATGTATTTCCTATTATATTATCATAATGAATGTAGTCAAATCCATCATTTGGTTTTCTCACATACTTTAGGGACCCACATATATTTGTCACATCTGTAGCTCTCGTGCATCTGCCAGATCTGCAAAGTTTAAGTCACATAAAATAAAATAGTACTAACAGAATAGTACAAAGTTGGAGTTTTGAGTATTGAGAAGACACCCAAATCATGGAAATTGTTGGAAAATTGCAGAAACAATTTATTGACTTCATTAATGCTTTGTACCATGAGGTCAGTTTCTTTTTCCCCAATTTTGTTTTGGTTTGTTGAATTGAGGCTTTTCTGATGTGGGTTTCGTTTTTCTTGTTCAAAAAATGATTTTTTTTCTTTTATAAAGGGATTCTTGGATGATCAGTTTCTTCAGCTTCAGAAATTGCAAGATGAGAGCAGCCCTGATTTTGTATTTGAAGTAGTGACACTTTTCTTTGAAGATTCAGAAAAGATTATCAACAATCTGGCAGCTACACTGTGAGATTAAGTGTCTTATAATTTTCTGGGGTTATTTTTCCTTGTTTTTGTTTTATTAAAGTTGAAGTTTTGGCTCATTATGTTTTTTTTTTAAAAAAAAAAAATTGTGTAGTCAACAACAGGCCGTGGATTTTAAGCAAGTTGATTCCCATGTCCACCAATTCAAGGGTAGCAGTTCCAGGTACTTAATTTTAGTTGGTCCCTTACATTTTTAGGTCTTTGTCGTTGACTGAACTACTTAAATTGATGTTGAAGGATTTTTTGTATTTTTCCAGTTACATTTGGACTACTTTTCTGAATATTTAGCTGACATGTAATACCTACTTGGTAAATTTATTGTACTCAGAGATTAAGTTTTATGCTATTAGATTTTAGATCACAGTAACTAGATAGTTGTTCGAAAACAGCCTCTCTACCCCCAGGGTATGGGTTATCCTCCCTAGATCCCACTTGTGGGATTTCACAGGGTTTGTTGTTAGTAAGTGGATAGTTGAATTGAAGACTTTCTGGTTTTCTTTTAGTATCACTATTACTTTGTCTGACCTGAATCTCTGTTATGTCGAGCAGCGTAGGTGCACAAAGAGTAACGAATGCTTGTATAGCTTTCAGAAACTTTTGTGAACAGAAGAACCTTGAAGGGTGAGTTTTGCTTTATGCCCTTACAATTTTCCTTCCTCCCTATTCATATGGGAATTTGAGAAAATTTCATAGACAAATTTGACCGCTTAGATATTCAGAAAAATAGTTTATGAGAGTTTTGTTTTCTACCATGTACGGCATTGGTCATTGTCTTTTGTAATCATTAGACTCATTACTTGGCATGGCGATAAACCTTGTCGAGAGATAGTGCATGTATAAGATTTACCTATTATCATGTGGTATATTCTTAAATGAATGAGAAACAGGTTTATAGGGCATTGGCTAACTTAGATGCTATTTGAGGCTAATATGGATCTTCATTCACGAGGGTACCATGTCAAGAACTTTGCGATTTCTCTTTTCCAGATATTTCTACTCCATTGTAATTGCAATCACCCGTGTTTGTCCCGTCTCTGTCTTCCATCACCCTCAAATTTCCTGGTCTCTTTGTGTTTCTATCTCTTCTTTTGTGTTTTTGGGATAAAGTTGTGCTTCTGTCTCGCTTTGGTGGACAAAATCAACCTTGTTGAAGTAATTAACAAAATGAAGTTTACGCTTTTTGGGAGAATATATATCTATATATAGTGTATGCAGGTATAGAAGCACAAAGGGATTTGAGTATAGATGTTTCTGGCTGGTTAAGGATATTGAAGTGTAGCATGCCACTCCATTATTGTTTATCTCTTATAGTAGCCAGATTCTTTGAATTGCCAAAGTAGCAGTAATTTTCACTTTCGAAGTTATCAAATCACAATAATAGACCAGTTTCTCTAGTGAGTCTCTAAATTTTCACTTAATTATCATTGCCCCTTATGAGGACACCACTATGAACCGCAATCTCTGCAAGATCTCTAAAAGTAGCATTTGCGCTTCTTTCCGTCTCAAAATTTGCTTAAGTTTGCATTGTTTAGCTGAGTACACAAACTTCTCTCTTTCACAAGATGAATATGAAGGCCAACTCAGTTGAAGCATTTCCACATAGTTATGTTTTAGTATTATGTTGGAAGAAAGCATTGAAGATATATGTACCATATGTTATGTAAATACAGTCCATGAGTCAGCAACTAACATCATGTACCTGTGGCTTTGGGTTTCAAGACAAATAAAAGGATAGATAGGTATTACGTCTTGATTCAATTCCCTTGTAGGAACTCTCAAACTCCATTAGATAACATAAAAATGAAAGCCTCTTTATTAATTCCGCCTGACATAGCATAAATTATTGCAGATGGTTGTAAGAAATGACGAGCCCCGACGTTATTTTGCTTTAGTTCGGATTCAAGTCTTCATACTGTCTTGTTTTTGTGATCATGTTGCATCAAAGTTCGATTTTTGAGATGTATCCATGGCACTGCAAAATGCTTCAGCTTTGTACATCTGTTTTCCTTGTGCAGGTGTGTGCAATGTCTGCAGCACGTGAAACATGAATATTTTCTTGTGAAGAACAAACTTGAGACCTTGTTGAGGGTAAGTACTCTTCTATGAATGCATGGGATTCCGAAGATTAAGTACCATATTATTGAAGAAGAAGCTACTTAGTATACGATACTAAAAATTCAGCGAGTCGGGTGTTCTGATGCTCAACCATCAACTTGGATATTTCACAAATTTATTTCATGATATAGTTGACAGAATATGTGTTATAGGTCCTAGCCTTTGATAAGCAAACATGGAATTTGCCTTGAGGCCGGTGTTTAATGAGATAGTGAAACTGCCCTCTCAGCATTCATATTTTATTTGATCTTTATGACTTTACCACCCAACTATTGTTTGAGATGCCAGATTTCCGACTTCGAATTCTCTTCCATGAGAAGAGTATGGTTCAGTTCCTCTTTGGCTTCATTAAAACTTAAAAGCTTTTGATTCCCTGAAGTCTCCATTTTTTCGCAATAAGGTTTTTAGCACCTTGTCTTTGATTTCTTCACATTACCAATTATGTTTCCGATTTTTTCAATATATCATTAGCTAATTTTGAGAAAGGATTTTTTTGTTTCCTTCCCAAAGTCTATAAAATCAGCTCAAATCACTGCTTGTTTTATGAAAATGCAGCTGGAGCAGCAAATCTTGGCAGCGGGTGGTACGATCCCTGTCCTGTCATAGGTGCTGATGATTTTAAGCCATACCAAACTACAATGATAGTAGAGAGGAAGGGAGTTGGCATTGCAAATGAGTTTCAAGATTTCGTAAGCTGCTTTGATTGCTGGATTCTAGTAGTTGTAGATGTAAAGATTCATTGTGAATAACAGATTCCTATATTGTTAAACACTTCAAAATTCCTTTCGCCTTTTGGTAGTAAGCTATCTATGTACTCGCAGTTGAAGTTTTTCTCCTTTCAATGGTTATTCACTAGGGGCATTCAGTTATCAGAATTCATTTGTTAAGCTTCAGCCATTATTAAGTACTAGAACTTGAGGTGTTCACCTTGTTGTTAACAAATTATAAAGGACAGTGTTGATGCACATGGATGATATCTTCCACCTCCCCTAGCCCCACAACAGAGGCAAATCTAGTATCTATGGTTAGTGTGATCTTATTACACACATACTTTTTCAATATTTATAATTGTATACATTGTTTGAGCCAAAAGCAACTGATTCAGTTGAACACATAGAACCTATTTTAGATTTGCCGTTGAGCCGCACCATGTAGCTAATTACGAGGTTAGTCACCTGCATGAACTTGCTTATGGACTAGAGTTTACAAGATGGTAAAAGCTCTTCTTTGGAGGTCAGTCAATGAGAGTAGCTTTCACTGATCTGTAGTTAGTTAAATAAATCTGCTTTTTCATAAACACGTTGTTGTACTACTTTAATTTAGAACGTGAAATTCATGGATTTCCTAACTTCTTTTAGCCTAAGAACATCCTTTTGGTTTTCTTGTCCTTGTTGTGATGAAGCCTAGCACTACTTTAAGACAAACTAGAGTTCTTTTGCCTCTTAAACAGGGAAAAAGGGTATAAATACTTTGTTTCCTCACAAATTGGGATAGCTCTCTGTTTTTCCTTTTCCTTTTTAGTTAATAATTATCTGTATATCAAGGGAAGGAAGAATGGAACAAGGCTCATTTTAGGGTTGGTCCTGCTACCATAGTATCATAAAGGGATAGGGTGTGATATAGCTCATAGTCACTTTCGGTCCAGACCAATAACTAATCTAGCCAACAGCTACGTAATTCCACATCTTGGAAAGTTATTTAACGAATCTTAGGTGTCGGGTGGCAAAATGGTTAAAAGAAATTATCCACTAAAAATGGATTGGATAATGAAAATTTTAAAAACGGGTCAAATATGGATAAAAATCATATTATACATTTGAAAAATGGATAATCAATGGATAATTAATGAGTTTAACTTTTACATTTGTAAAATCTCAAATTGAGGATTCCTCAAGTTTGGAGACCAGGAGTTCTCCTAAAAGTGATCATATTCATGGAGCCATAGATAATATGGTTACCCATATATATTATCTGACGGTTAACACGTTTTTTTATCCGTATTAAATATGGGTCGGGTCGAATAATTTATCCGTTTTTTATTATCCGTTTTCGACCCAGCCCGCCCGTTTGCCGCCCCTACTTAGGTGCAATAGTTGCTGGAAAATTGGTTTATAGCCTGTTTGGCCAAACTGCAAAAATCAGCTTATTTGAGAAGTGCTTTTGTTCAAAAGTGCTTTTCTCAAAAGTACTTTTGCTGAGAAGCAGTTTGTGTTTGGCTAATTAGTTTGAAAAGTACTTCTGAGCAACAATTAGTGTTTGACCAAGCTTTAAAAAACTGTTTCTAAGTGTATTTTTCTGAAAAGTGTTTCTCAAAAAAGTGCTTTTGGAGAGAAGCTACTTTTTTCTGCTTCTCCAAAACTGTTTCTGCTTCTCCTCAAAAGCACCTTTTTCCTTCCAAAAGCTTGGTCAAACACCCCAATTTTTGTCCAAAAGTGCTTTTGGCAAAAAAAAAAAAAACACCTTTGGCCAAGAAAATTATTGGTTTTCCTAACTTGACGAAATGGAGTTTAGCATTTGCTGAGATGGTTGGCATTCGTAGTTTAGCATTTCGAGACCAAGACGGCATCCCAATTTCTGTCAAAAGACTTTTAATGAACATTTACTATTAACTTCGAATAATAGTATCTCTCAACAAAGTTAATCCACACCTTTGTCAGTAGCTCAGTACACCTCTAATTTATTCAACAGAACGTACAAACATGAAAAATCCATTTGCTAAAGTGTTAGTATTTGTCAACGACACAGCATGTGCATTGCTCATTCGAAGTTATATGTGCAAAAATAATACGAGAGCACTAACCTAGTACCATTGGCCAACTCAATATGAGTAAATGAGAGAGAGCTCAAAACCAAGATAGACAAATTCATAATCTAGTCTAGAGTTAATGACTGATCTTATTGTATCTTTATATTTTAAAATATTCTTATACATGTATACCAATTACGAGTCGAAAGTAATGGATTCTGTTAAACCAACCGCCTAGATCAGGCTCTGCGCAGCAGCCTAGTTGGATGAAAGAGACGTGATATGTAAGCTTCATAAATGAGCACATTCTACTTTCCTCCTTCACTCTCTCTGTTGTCTGTACAAAGTTAGCTCATGCTATCCAAAATTGTTCGGTCCACCCCTCTCATCTTTACTGCAAAAGGCCCACAGTTGTTGGGGTTGGTCAATTTAAACAAACACGTCTCTATGCATTTACTATTTCAGTTATGATATATATACGTGGGGCTTGGGAGGATAGTGTGAATGCAATTTTACCCTTACTCTATAAAGACAGAGGCTGTTTCTAATGTTAAGACCCATATATTCTTGACATAGAAGTATCAAAATGAAAGAATGGTTTGGTAACATGACTTATCTTAAAGATTACGTTTGCTACAGTTCCAAACTCCAATAAACTATTATCCTCATTCATTAATTAACTTCTTAGGTAGTGAGTATCATTGTTCCAATTGTTTCGGTTGGCTACATAAAATTAGGTTTAGTAGTTCTATGTATATATATATATATATACCCTCCTAATTTAGGAGGATCTATATTGTAGTAGTTCTGAATATATTAAATATGGCCAAATGCACAGCCAAAGATTCGGTGATATGATTAGAATTCATCCGCTCTTATTAAGAGATTTCAGGTTCAAACTTGAGAATGACAAACTTTTTGATAGAGCGCTTCTTTCCCCACAAAGCCTATTCAGCCCGAATCAAATTTAATTGGATCGATGAATTTTGAATACCAAATAATTAAGGGCAAAAAAAAAAATGATTAGTTGCTAGTATTGCTGATGATGTAAAGGAAAAAAGGGCCTTTTTGAGGTAACAGTATAATCATGAGGGAAGTGGTTTGCCTTCATAATTTGGGAGCTATGCACATTTGTTTGGTTAGACTTAAAGATGACTACTCAGATCAGTAGTAGTCTCAAAACCTAGGGAAAAATATTTGCTCAGAGAAATAATCATTGTATTGCCTAGACTAATTTACATTTCTGCCCAAAGAAGTGTCCCCAGATTTGTGTTTGTCAAACATAAAATCGTGAGGTACATCGTCCTGATACAATCATAAATAATATAGGGGACAATAAAAGAAAAAAAGTAATAATGTGTTAGGTATATTGTTACTTCTTGCATGTAAAGCTTAAGCATTATATAATCCACAAAGCATTTCCTCTAATGAATTTTTTGTGGTCAATTATAAAATAGATTTAAATAATATACGATGACAATTTTAAGTATATAGTGCAAAATTGTTATATTAACGTGTAGCTGTCCGTCCGTGTATATCAGTTAAATACTTAAAGAAATGAGCACTCTCGTCTCCTCTCATATGTTATTGTTCTACGTACGTAGTGTCCGTTCTTTTTCTCTCCCTTTATTTCTGTTTGATTATCTAAATCTTGGGCATCTTTTGGCTTTTGTAAAAGCAAATGTCTGATAGCTGAATAATTGTAGAATTGGGCATCAATTATTATTAGTCAATGATATAGTTGCGAATTGGGACATATTTGCTCTCCTTTGAACTGTTAAGTAATTGAAACATATATATAGCGACCTTTATAGTTATTCGTCTTTTGGAAAAAAAAAAAAAGAAAGGGAAGGGAAAACAGTGACAAAAGAGAGGCTTTTATTGGATTTAAGAATATTGGAAGGAGACGTTTTTCTCTTTTTCTAACACAAAAAGGAATCATTTGTAACTACTTTGCTTTGGCTTGAATATTGAAACTGAACAAGAAATAGTGGGGAATGAGAACCCATAATATCATAACAACCTCTAGTCACTATTATGAAGAATTGAAGCCCCATTTCCTTAAAAGCAAATATCATTACTCTATAATATGTATTTGCTTGGGCCATATTAACTGATTATTAGCCACTTTAGAATCTATTTGATGTGACTCTCTTCCCGCACCACTTCCTTTATCTACTAATCTTCCTATTTTTATTACCGAAAATTACTTTTAAACACTTTTCGTCAATTCATTAGAAATTTAACATATATCAAAGAAATTCAACTGTTTATATATAGCTAAAAATATCAATTAAATAAAATGATACTTATCAAAGTATATATCAAAATCGATAAATAACTATATTGGGAAAGAGAAATTCAAAAATAGCCAAATTTACGAGTGGTCATTCAAAAATAGCTACAATTTCAAAAGTAATTGAAATTTAATCACTTTTCATGTAAAGATAAATCTGAACGAAAATATTATTCAAAATCCGGAAAAATAATCCAGTATTATCAGTCCAGTATATTATCCTGGAACTTTTCGCGTGTTGGAGTTCCAGCATAATATGCTGGAAGTTCATGCACAGGTGCACCGATCTCCAGTATATTATGCTGTAACTATCCGTATTGCAGAAAAATAGTGGCTATTTTTCAATAACTTTACAAACGTTGGCTATTTTTTAATGACCAATCTGAAAACTGGCTAACCCGTGCTATTTTTACATAAGAAGGCTATATGGCCATTCCAACTGGGCCCCAAAGGTGGCATAAAAGGCCCTACTAAAAATTTGATCTTTACATTGTTTACTTTTTTGAGCTGGGTATAAATAAATCATATAATGATTATATATAATTATACACATTATATATAAATTAGACAAATATTATACGAAAAATGTCACGCCCCAAACCTGGGAAGCCTTGGCTGGTATCCGGTACTGTACTGGCCCGAGCGAACCACTCTGTAACTCATTTTTTTTCTTTCTTAACTATCATGGACCAACATGGCCACAACTCGTAATGTATAACTATAAGTGGAAAAACACTGTATCAATGAACCATCTCTCTTAAAACATGAATACCTATGGGTCGTCAAGGCCTCTGACATACTATACAAAATGAACCTCTGTCTACAAAGCCTGTAAGATTATTTGACATCAAATGCGACAGGAAACCGGCCTACCCATAAGTCTGTAGCAAAACTCTGACACAATGACTTATAGACTCGGATGCACTCCGAATGAGGTGGAGTCTTACCGATCCTTCGCTGAATGCTGACCTCGTCTACTATGAGGGCTCATCAAACTGATTGTCTATACGTGTAGGCATGAATGCAGCATCCCCAACGAAAGGACGTCGGTAAGAATAATGAACCGAGTATGTATGGCGGAATTGAAACATAACACTAAGTCAACATTAATTAAGGANATATAATGCTTTTCTTTGAGACTATTATCCATATCTTATGATGCATGACTGCCCAACTGATCAGTGGTAATTGCCCGACCGGACGTAGCTCAGTGGTAAATATGTAATTGCCCAACCGGCCGTAGCTCAGTGGTAAATGCATGACTGCCCGACCGGCTGTAGCTTGGTGGTAAATATGCAACAGCCCAACCGGTCATAGCTTGGTGGTAAATGCATAACTGCCCAATCGGTCGTAGCTCGGTGGTAAATGAATATACATGTCTGCCCAACTAGTGGTAAATAATGATACATAACTGCCCAACCGGTGATAACTGCCCGTTCGGCCATAACACAGTGGTAAATGCATGAATATGCATATATCACTATATTTTAAATATTAACGTCACTATCATATACCTCAATAGGGACTTAGGAACATACTTAGACATGCTTGAATGTCACTTTATAGGAATGAATAACATAGATATCCTTACTATTAAGAGTAGAAACGCTTATGAAATAGCATTATGTTCACGTATCGTTACTTGGATCATGCCAAAAGAAGGAAGAATTAGCCTTAGCATACATGTGTGGTCTCTTCCTTATTACTCAACCAAGCTCAACACAACTTCTTTCATCTACAACGAGTGAAATGATATTGCCATTAACATATAATATCGTACCATCGTATTTGGCTAGTCGTATAATTTAAGAAAAATCGGGCAGCAACTCCCCTATTTTAATACAACCCAAAGACCACTAAGGGTCATCAACAACCCAACGACAACAACTATAACAAACAATAGCAACAACAATGATATAATCCAATATGAGTTTCTCTGATTATCTTAACAATTATATTGAGCGGCAAACTCGTTTTTACTCATAACAAGATATAAATTGAATCCAACTCTTATTCCATAAATTAGTTTACAACTTTCAGAACATCATACTTATATGTACCATATTATTTCAAGTTTAAACCATCTACAAAATACCTTCTAAAACAACCTCATACATCTAGCACCTTAATTTTTATCGTCAATAACTTGTTTTTCATCTTTTCTTCTTCAACCAACTTTATTAACACTTAGAAAAGCTTAACAACATCAGCCACATATTATTAAATTATTTCTCACAATTTTCATCCACCACAAACCATATATTTAGTCACAAAACAGTCCAACCAAAAAGACAACCATATCCCATGTTCTTTCAAGTGCTATCTTATAGTTTTTCACTCTAACAACACAACCAACACAAGATTAACCTTAGGCACAATTGAGTACATACCTTGTACATCAGCTACAACTCGAAACCCTATCTCAATCTAGCTCACAATAGCCTTCAATCACACCACAATACTATAAAAGCATTCTCTTGTAGTCTTTAATATCTTTGATGATGATTTGTGTTGATTTCTCTTCAGTCTTGTTATTGGGATCCTGGACCAGCTCTTGGAGAACTTGAGAGAGTTTTGATGTAAGAAATATCTGGATATTGACGAAATGTAATGGGTAAAGACAACTTATAAGCCCACTGCCTCAATTCTCCAAGCATGTGGGTAAGCTGCCTGCTTGGCAGCTTGAGCAGTACCACTTTGGACATTTGTATCTCTCTACTCCGATATCGTATTGACAAACGGTTTGCAGCGTTAGAAACTAGACACACAGGAATTTAATTCCATATAAATATATCCATGTAACTCTCAATAGATTGGGAGAAATTGTGTCTCAACATGGCCTATAAACTTGTCAGTTTCTCCGAAGTGCGGCAACGTGCCTTGGCGACCCTAATTTAAAAGTGCATATTTTTCTGCCCAGATGTCATATGAATAAATGGTTTGGAACGTTGGATACTATGTTCCAAGACCTTCATTTTGGTATATAATATGTCCTAAAATGACCTCATATAACAGATGAAATGTATTGCTCAAAACGCTTCATTAAAAGGCAAATCCTTAGTTGGCTTTTCCACAACTTAAATACGATTTTTCCAAACTTTGTATTTCATATCCAAACATCATATATAGCCATATCACGACTTTAATCTCATTTAAATCATGATTAAAAAGTCTTATTCATCCTAAATTTCCTAATACTTTGATAAACCTTCTTTAGCCTTGTAGAAGGATTTCATCCCTTTTTGAGCTTACATATATCAATTTACATATAGCGCACTTTCACGTACGAAAACATGGGGTGTAACAGAAAAGGCCCATATCTACCCCTATACTATCATAAAAGATTTAAATATACTCCTCGTTACGTTATACTTTGAGTCTGTATATATCCCCGTCGTTATACTATTAGTTCAAATATACCCCTTTTTGTTAAGTTTGTCTAAAGTGAACATCCAATTCTACATGTCACTGACATTTGATAAGGTGGATGTCACATGGTTTGCCATCTCAGCGCCCCTAACCTATTTTATACCTTCCTTCTATTTTTTTCCACTACTAAAATTTTCTTCCCCTCCACCACTATTGTCACCATTACTTTTACCATGAAAATATTGTATTTTAAATTTTAGTTTTATATATATAGATTAAGTGCGTTGAGGTGGCATGCCATGTGGCAACCACCTCATCAAATATAGGTGTCACGTAGCATTGAATGTCTATTTTGAACAAACTTAATAGAAAAGGGTATATTTGAACTAATAATATTATGACAAAATTATATTTGAACCCAAAATATACCGAAGTATATATTTAAACATTTCTCGTATTACATGACTGTCTTGGGCCTTTGCCGAATATTATAATAGCACCGTCCATCAACTGCAACAAATCGCACCGTCCGTCAGCTGCGATTGCTTTTCTTCTCACAGTTCCTCCGTGTTGTTGACTGTAATTGCTTGCATGGCTACGAATGAGACTGTACTGTAGCCGCCATACTTGTTGCATGCTTCCCATACGAATAAATCAGAAAGAGGGATTTGACTGTTTTTATTTTATGGTAGAAAAATTTAAGACATGGAATATGAGATCTGTTTCATCGCCTTTAATTTTTACTTAATTTGTGTAAACATCTCAACCAGACACTTGGCCACTATGAACACAGAATTACACACAGAAATTTCCGTCTCTTTTTTTATCTTTCTGTTTTAAGCATGACAATGAAACTGCAACTAGTAATAATTAAACATTTATTCCGAGGATAGTGATAAGATTATTACCATAAAAAATGTTGAGTGTGCAATTTCTGAATTATTATTATTATTATTATTATTATTATTATTATTATTATTATTATTATTATTATTATTATTATTATTATTATTATTATTATCCTTTTATGTTTGGAAGAAGGGGATCCACAATCCCGTAATAATGTACTCTGAGCAAAGCAATATCAGACATAATACGAAACAAACCAAAAAAACAAGGAGATTGTGGAGGTTATGGAGTTATGGCAAAATTAATTTAATGTAATCTGCTAATGATCCGGTAACGTTTAAATTGAATAAATACGTAAAATAAATGCACTTAATGGAACAAATAGAGCCTAAAGTTCTTTCTATACCATTTGGTATCAAGAATTTATTGGTTTCACTAATTAAATTTCATGTCGTTGGGTAGAGCCTATTAACGTAGAACACTTTTTACCAGAAATTTTTTATTCTCCCGACTTAAATTTGAAAACTCTTACTAAGGATGAATAATCTCATTCATTCCCCAACCTTTGGTGGTAGATACAATCGAAAGTTCAGTACTATGATCACACGTAACATTTTACTAAAAATAATACAAAAACTAGAGTAGATATGAAAACTAATTGGAAAGCAAGTGATTGCCAGAAATTAAAGACATCTAACAATATTTCATTGACTAATAGCCTGTTTGGCCAAGCTTCTCAAGACAAAAAAAGTGCTTTCTTTTTTCTTTCCCAAAAGCACTTTTTTTTCTCTAATTTGAGGTGTTTGGCCAAGCTTATTTGGAAAAAAAAGTGCTTTTGGGAAGAAGCAGAAGCAGTTTCAGAAGCAGAAGCAGTTTTGACTTTTCTTCTTACCTAAAATACCCTTAACAAAATATAGTATATACCAAAATAACCCTTAAACTTAATACTTAGGATATTAATTTATAAATATTTCTTCTTATTTTTAGGAAACTTTCTAATATATATTGACTTTAGGGGTGAATGCTTTTATATTTGTTAAAGGAATTTTAATATATTTAACTTATATTAAAAGAATTAAGTATTTTTTAATTTTATTTTCATGTTTTACTTAAATAAAATGATTTTTTTTAATTATTGCATGTAATAACAAAATTTTGATATTATTTATTTACTTATAATATTAATTATTAAGTAAATCTATTCATGCCCTTATTCGTAATTTGACACTTAAAAACACTTTCTAAAAAGATTAGCCAAACACAAACTAATTCTCTAAAGAAGTACTTTTTTTAAAAGCATTTTTTTCAAAAGCACTTCTCAAAATAAGCTAATTTCTCCATGGCGAAACAGGCTATAAATTACATTTGTACTAAACATCTGTAGTACTTAATTAACTATACCAAGAAACTAAGCAAAAAAGAAAAATAAAAAAGGAAAAGTGAAAAATATAAAGAGAACAAAAAAATAGACTTTGATGATTGTGCAAGCATAAGCTCACGTGGACCTCGTCTGAATTACCTCAATCACCGAACCTGATGATCTGTCACTCCAAACCTCAGGCTCGTGATATCCAGCTAGGCACGTACAACCGTTTGGCCATCCACCCCTCTTCCCAATGAACAAACAAAACACAACATTAACTATAACAAAAAATAAGTAAAAAAAACATTAACTCTGTACCTCCTGTCTTGTACACACACAAGAAAGTGACCGTAGAAACAATAACTCTCTATCTGCTATTCTCATTTCACTTCTTCTTCTCTCCTAAGCCACCAAAAAAAAAAACACAAATTTCTTATACCAATTGTATTGAATAAGATTCATTGATTCAACCATAAACAAAAAGCTTTTGCTTTGCTTTTCTGTGAAGCTACTTTTTTTTTTCCTTTGCTGTTGGTTTCCATTAAAGCAATCACAAGGTCCCATTTGACACGAGAACTCTTTGCTTCTCACGGAAAAGTAAACCAAACAAACCAAAAAGTTCAATCTTTACCTTATATAAGTTCCTTTGTATCATTCTTCTCTTCATCTATACGGTAATTATGGTACCATTCTTTGTATTTTTGACTCCATTGNTTCTTTGTATTTTTTACTCCATTGCTTTTTGTTCTTAAAAATAGTTTCTTTGTACATGGGATTTTAGACCCTATTGATTTCTTGGCATTACAAGCTATTCGAAAAAGCTTAGATGATTTACCAGGTTCGAATTATTTTGCTTCTTGGGATTTTACTTCTGAGCCTTGTAATTTTGCTGGAGTTTACTGTGATGGAGATAAAGTGATCGCATTGAATCTTGGTGACCCGAGAGCTGGGTCACCGGGTCTAACCGGAACTTTGGATCCTTCTATTGGGAAACTTTCTTCTCTTGCTGAGTTTACTGTAGTTCCGGGTCGGATAACCGGTGCATTACCCGAAAGTTTGTCTCAGTTGAAGAACTTGAGATTTCTTGGAGTTAGCCGGAACTTTCTCTCCGGCGATATTCCGGCGTCATTGGGTCAGCTCCGGGAGCTACAAACTCTTGATCTTAGTTTTAATCAGCTCACTGGAAATATACCTTGGGCTATTGGTGCACTTCCAGCATTATCCAACGTTATACTTTGTCACAACCATTTGTCCGGTTCGATCCCACCTTTTGTTTCTCAAAGATTAACCCGTTTAGACCTTAAACATAACGAACTTTCTGGTACTCTTTTGCCTATGTCACTTCCTTCTTCTCTTGAATACTTGTCATTATCATGGAACCAGTTTACCGGTCCAGTTGATTTTCTGTTAACTCGGCTGAACCAGTTGAACTATCTTGATCTTAGCTTGAACCGGTTTACCGGCTGCATTCCCGGGATTTTGTTTACTTTTCCACTCACAAATCTTCAGCTACAGAGGAATTTATTTACGGGTCCGATTTTACCAATGTCACAAGTGACTATTCCGACGGTGGATATTAGTTTTAACAGGTTTTTCGGGGAGATATCGCCATTGTTTTCTAATGTGCAGAATTTGTATTTGAATAATAACCGGTTCACTGGTCAGGTGCCGGCGGTTTTGGTGGACCGGTTATTATCGGCTGGAATGCAGGTTTTGTATGTACAGCATAATTTTCTGACAGGGATTGAGATTAATCCGACGGTGGAAATTCCGGTGAGCAGTTCATTGTGTTTGCAGTATAATTGCATGATACCGCCGGTTCAGACCGCTTGTCCGTTGAAAGCCGGGAAGCAGAAGAGTAGGCCTACTGATCAGTGTGTGGAGTGGAAGGGCCAAAAGGGTGACAAAACAAACAATATTACTGGATAAAATATGGTTATTAATGTGTTTCTTTGTATTTGATTCGTTGATTTATTAATTTTTTGGGTGAAATTACTATGAGGTTAAAAAATAAAAAAGTAAATGTGCATAAAGGAGAGAAAGTTTGACTAAAAGGGAAGGGTGTAGAGTGACCATCCTGTTATTTTTATGTTATGTGTTTTTATGGTAAGCCAAAGTGTGACTATCAATTATGGCATTTCATTTGGTGATTAGCTATAACAATTTGCTTCTTATTCAACTTCTTGAATAACCATTGGATTTATGGTTGTTAGTTCCAGTGAAATTATCTACCTTTTGTTGTTCTTTACAAGCTGATCAATCAAAGAAGGCTGCGTGGAGGAGTTCTCGAATGGCGGATTCAGGGTAATGGCAGCGTTTACAAATGTACTCTGGCTCGATTTATATATATTGTTGAACAATTTTGGATAAGAAGGCTCGATTTATATATATATATTGTTGAACAATTTTGGATATCTTATCGTTATGTCAAGTTCAAACTTATTGTCACAAAGGAGTAGTAAGTATAATGATACACTAGAACTATTTACTACAAATTCTGAATTCGTCTTTAACAATGATTGCTTTATGTGTATTCTCTGTGTATGTTATGTTGTTATCTAACGTTCAAAATCCAAGTGCTGGGTGGGTGTATAAGTACGTGCATCTTTGTTCAGGCCTAGGTGTTGATGTTGTCTCCTTTTTGCTGGTTTACAGTAACTGAGAATGGAGTGGTAGGGATGCTTTTTTCCAGCTTTTCGTTTGTTTTTGGGCTTGGAGGGGGACACTCAACTGTCAAAGACAAAATATACGTTACAGTCTACATATTTGATAGTCAGACTTCTTTTATTATTTTGATCTTAAGATGCATTATTATCTTATGTGATTAATGGAACGTAGTTTTCCTCGTGAAAGACATTAACTCTCTCTTGTCTGGCTGTGTCCACACCTTCTCTTAATTTCCTCTTCCTTGTGCTAGAAATTTGGCCTTGTTAAGGGGCTGTTTTACTTGTAAACATGTTTAATTTTAAAAAATTTAACAAAAACCTCAACTCTGTTAGTTTTTTTTGGTGCTGATGTATATCTTCTGATTGTAGTTTTCATATTTAATGGACTTTTCAAAAATTAGATGTACACTTTTTTCTATACACATAATTCTTTTGTTATAGATCTTATAAGCTTTACCATGTGAAGAATATTCCAAAAATATTCTCTCATCACTTCTGGGATCAAACTTACCCAGGAAGTCTTTACCATTGTTGTGCACAAAGCACTTGTATCCAAATGCCCTAAGACGTGATATATTTAGCTTTCTCCCTTTAAGTAACTCATAGGAAGTCTTCTCAACAAGAGGTCTCGCCATGCACCTATTTATGATGTAACATGCTCTTGTTCACAGCTTCTGCCTAGAAACTATGGGGCAACTATTAGAAAGAAGCATAGTCCTAGCCATTTCTTCCAATATCCTATTTTTTCTTTCAACTACTTTATTTTGTTGTGGAGTCCTAGGAGCAGAAAAATTATGATTGATGTCATGCTCATCACAAAATTTAGAAAATTTAGCATTTTCAAATTCATTACCATAATCAGACCTAATTGATGCAAGTTGATTACCTAGTTGTTTTTGAGTTTTTCTAACAAAAGAAATGAACATGTCAAATGCTTCATCTTTGGATGTTAGAAATAGTGTCCAAGTAAACCTAGAGTAATTATCAACACGCACCAAAACGTATCTCTTACCACGTCTGCTCAATGTTCTCATTGACCCACAAAGATCCATATGGACCAGTTCCAACGTTTTGGTGATACTTACCATTTTTCTTACTTTTGAAAAAGGATTTTACCTGCTCCCCCCTTGCACAAGCCTTACAAACTTTATCTTCCTTGAATTTAATGTTAGGCAGTCCTATCTTCCCTGCAAAACTATCTTGTCAGTGATAAGATTAATTACAGAGTATTTTGTAGAGGTGAATGCAATCATGTTACATCTATCACACAATTGTGATACACTTATTAGACTGTACTTCAGCCCATCAATCAGGTAGACAATTCTCAATAGAGTGAAAGTCAGTCTTACCTACCTTGCTAACCCCAATGATCTCACCTTTCTTCCCATTTCCGAAGAAGACATTACCTCATTTAAGGTCCTCAAGTGAAAGGAACTGGTTCTTGCTTCCTGTCATATACTTTGAGCAGCCGCTATTCATGTACCATATTTGGATGCTCCCCTTCACTTGAACCTACAAAAAAAAAACATCAGGGGTTAGTCTCTTGAACTCAAACTAGCTTGGGTCCCTTTCTATAGGCAAAAGGATGAATCAAATTCTTTTTAGCCTAACTTGGCAACCTATTTTTCCCTTGAACAAATTCTTGGTTCTTTTGACTTGCCTTTTCTTTTGCAGTGCATTCACTATTATAGTGACCAGTTTTACCACAGTGTGTGCAATTTTTGTTCTCAGGAAGTGTGAGGTACTTGCTTTTGGGATCCCACTTAGGTGTAGAGTTCCCAAAGCCAAGTCTTTTCTTTTTGCTACTATGGTGTTCATGTATCTGTGAAAGTGCATCGGAGGAACTGTTCCATTTACAGGTTCTGTCTAGTTCGTTCTTGACCTTGCTTAGATCCTACTTTAGGATTCTTATCTGCTCATCTCTTTTGTACAACTCATCTTTTATTTTTCCTATATTTTCTTCTAAAATGAGTTGTGTGTGATCAACTATCTTTTTACATGTTCCTAAATTTAATTTTAGATTTTCAAATCTAAGTTCTAGGATATTTGTGTGAAGTTCATGAACTTGGTTCTTCAACACAGCATTTTCACTTTTAGTTTCACTAGCCCTATGTTCTAGGTTTTGCATTTAGCTTTTAAAACTACACACTCTGTTGACAGTTGTTCCTTTTCATTATTTACATCCTCAAATTCATCAATTAGCTCTAGGAGCAACTCAGATAACCTTTTCTTAGACAAAAATTTATTCTTGGCTTTGAGATGAGAAATACTTATCTCAGTTTCTTCATCAGATTTTCCAATAGCCATAAGTGCTCGTTCATCATCATCATCACCATCATTATCATCATCTAAGCTTTCATCTAAGCCATATCCCCAAGTAGCGACCATAGCCTTTGTTGATCCTTTGCTGTTACTTTTCTTAGGTTGAACCTGTTCCTTCTTCCTGTTCTTTTGTTCACCTCTTTCCTTCTTCCTCTTAATTTCCCATAGATGATAGTTCTTGATGTGATGATCAGTCTTTCTACACTTGTAGCAGCCATTAGTAGTTAGTTTCTCAAGAGTTTTTGATTTGCTGTAGCTACCACTTCTTGAAGACCCCTTTCCTCTCCTTAGGTACTTTTTGAAGTTTTTGGTGATCATGGCCATTTCATCATCTTCCAGATCAGAACCTTCAGTGGTTCTGAGACCCAAACTCCTTTCCTTCTTAGGTACATCTATCTTCATGGTCTGTCTCCTAAGTTTATAGGCAGTAAGATTTTCAATCAATCATCCAGTGGAAGAGGGGAAATATTCTTTAATTCTTGGATGACAGTGATTTTGCTCTCCCAAGTGATGGGCAAAACTCTCGTCAATATTTTTTCAACCCTCTCTTCTTCAGGAATAATCCTTCCAATAGATTTCAGCTCATTTGTCAGAGTAATGAACCTAATGTACATTTCTTGAATGGTTTCTCCTTCCTTCATAGCAAAACTCTCGTATTGAGAGTACAGTAGAATTCCTCTAGATCTCTTCAATTGAGGTGTTCCTTCATGAGCACTTGTAGTGCGTCCCTTATTTGCTTAGCAATGGATTCTGGACCCAGTCTAATAACAAGCCATTTCTTGGCTTTATCATTCTTCTCCCACTTTCTCAAGTCCTCAGCAGTGTAATCAACTCTTGTCTTTGGCACATCTACTCCTTTAGCATTTTTCCAACGTAGCCAATAAACCATTGATGACAATGTCCCATAGCTCATAGTCATCTCCTATAATGTGACTCTTATCCTGTTTTTCCACCAAGAGTAGTATTGGCTATTAAAGAGTGGCGGCCTAGCAGTGGATTGCCCTTCCTAGTTTCCAGGTGGTGCACTCATATTGATCTTCTCCTGAGGTGTTAGCCTCTTCAAGGATAACATGCTCTGATATCAATTGATGTTTTATACTTCAATGACATACAAGAGGGGGAGGGGTGATTTGTGTGGTGTCCACTTTTCGCGTGCACAGATTATAGAAGGACCTGGTTCTTCTATGTGTTCCTTATACTACTATTGCGGAAATAATAAATGCGAAAAGTATAGAACACAAGTATTTTTACGTGGAAAACACCCAACTCAAAAGGTGAAAAAACCACGACCTACTGCTCAGTAGGATTTTCTCCAACACTTCACTAAATCACTAACTATGTGAAGAATATCCTAGAATACTCCCCTAACACTTCTAGGATCAAACTTATCTAGGGAGTTTTTACCATTGTTGTGTACAAAATACTTGCATCCAAATGCCCTAAGATAGGACATACTTGGCTTTCTCCCTTTAAGTAACTCATAGGGAGTCTTCTCAACAAGAGGTCTAGTCATGCACCTATTTATTATGAAACATACAGTGTTCACAGCTTCTGCCCAGAAACTATGAGGTAGTTTACTAGAAGGAAACTTAGTCCCAGCCATTTCTTCCAATGTCCTATTGCATTGTTTCAACTAATCCATTTTGTTGTGGAGTCCTAGGAGAGGAAAAATTATGATCTATGTCATGCTCATCACAAAATTCAGAAAATTTAGCATTTTCAAATTCAGTACCATGATCAGACCTAATTGATGCAAGTTGATTACCTAGTTATTTCTGAGTTTTCTAAACAAAAGAAGAGAATATGTCAAATGCTTTATCTTTAGATGTTAGAAACAGTGTCCAAGGAAACCTAGTGTAATCATCAACAAGCACCATAACATATCTTTTGCCGCATGTGCTCAATGTTTTCATTGGCCCACAAAGATGCATATGGACCAGTTCCATCATTTTGGTGGTATTTACCATTTTCTTTCTTTTGAAAGAGGATCTTACCTATTTCCCCCTTGCACAAGCCTCACAAACTTTATCTTCCTTGAACTTAATGTTAGGCGGTCCTATCACCAAGTCCTTGGAGACTAATTTGTTGAGTTGACTTAGACTGGCATGTCCAAGTCTTTTGTGCCAAAGGAGGAGATCATTATCCAACACACTTAAACAATTGAGTTCATTATCTAAGAGTGTGGAAAAATCCACAATATATATGTTGTTCACTCTTTTTCCCTGCAAAACTATCTTGTCAGGGATAAGATTAATCACAAAGCATTTTGTAGAGGTGTATGCAACCATGTTACCTCTACCATACAATTGTGATACACTTATTAGACTGTACTTCAATCCATCAATCAGGTAGACATTCTCAATAGAGTGAGAGTTAGTCTTACCTACCTTACCAACCCCAATGATCTGACCCTTCTTCCTATTTTTAAGGAGACATTATCTCCTTTAAGGTCCTCAAGTGAAAGGAATTGGTTCTTGCTTCCTGTCATATGCTTTGAGCAGCCAATATCTATGTACCATATTTGGCTACTCCCCTTCACTTAGACCTGCAAAAGAAAATCAGGGGTTAGTCTTAGGAACCCAAACTATTTTGGGTCCCTTTCTATAGGCAAAAGATTGAATCAAATTCTTTTTAACCCAACTTGGCAACCTATTTTTCCCTTGAACAAATTTTTGGTTCTTTTGAATTGCCTTTTCTTTTGCAGTGCATTCACTTTTATAGTGACCAGTTTTACCACAGTGTGTACAAATTTTGTTCTCAGTAAGTGCGATGTACTTGCTATTGGGATCCCACTTAGATGTAGGGTTCCCAAAGCCAAGTCCTTTCATTTTGCTACTATAGTGTTCATGTAGCCATGAAAGTGTATCAGAGGATCTGTTCCATTCACAGGTTCTGTCTAGCTCATTCTTGACCTTGCTTAGATCCTCCTTTAGGATTCTTATCTGCTAATCTCTTTTGTACAACTCATCTTTCATTTTCTTTATATTTTATTCTAAAGTGAGTTGTGTGTGATCAACTCATGTCTTTTTACATGTTCCTAATTTTAATTTTAGATTTTCAAATCTAAGTTCTAGGACATTTGTGTCAAGTTCATTTACCTGGTTCTTCAACCCAGCATTTTCACTTTCAGTTTCACTAGCCTTATGTTCCAGGTTTTTGCACTTAGCTTTTAAAACTACACACTCTTTTGACATCTGTTCCTTTTCATTGTTTACATCCTCATATTCATCAATTAGCTTTAGGATCAACTTAGATAACCTTTCCTTAGACAAAAATTTAATCTTGTCTTTGAGATTAAAAATACTTACCTCAGCATCTTCATCAGATTCTCCAATATCTATAAGTTCCCGTTCATTATCATCATCATCATCATCATCATCATCATCATCATCATCATCATCATCATCATTTTCATCTAAGCTATCTCCCCAAGCAGAAACCATAGCCTTTGTTGATCCTTTGTTGTTGTTTTTCTTGGGTTGAACATGTTCCTTCTTCCTATTCCTTCGTTCTGCTCTTTTCTTCTTCCACTCAATTTCCTACAGAGGACAGTTCTTGATGTAATGATCATTCTTTCCACACTTTTAGAAGCCATCATTGGTTAGTTTCTCAGGAGCTTTTGATTTGCTGTAGCTAATACTTCTTGAAGACCCCTTTCCTCTCCTTAGGAACTTCTTAAAGTCTTTAATGATCATGGCCATTTAGAATCTTCAGTGATTCTGAGAGCCAAACTCCTTTCCTTCTTAGTTATATCCATCTTCATGGTCTATCTCCTAAGTTCATAGGTAGTAAGATTTTCAATTAATTCATCCAGTGGGAGACTGACAATATTCTTTGATTCCTGGATGGTGGTGATTTTGCTCTCCCAAGTGATAGGCAAAACTCTTGTCAATATTTTTTCGACCTTTCTTCTTCAGGAATAATCCTTCCAATAGATTTCAGCTCATTTGTTAGAGTAGTGAACCTAGTGTACATTTCTTGAATGGTTTCTCCTTCCTTTATAGCAAGACTCTCATATTGAGAGTACAGTAGAGTTCCTCTAGATCTCTTCACCTGAGGTGTTCCTTCATGATCCACTTGCAGTGTGTTCCATATTTTCTTAGCAGTGGTACAGCCTTGGATTCTACTGTACTCATTTGGATCAAGTCCACAAACAAGCCATTTCTTAGTGTTAGCATTATTCTTCCACGTCCTCAAGTCCTCAGTAGTGTAATCAGCTCTTGTCTTTGGCACATCTACTCCTTCAACATTTTTCTTCAAGGTAGCCAATAGACTATCGGTGACAATGTCCCATAGCTCATAGTTCTCTCCTATAATGTGACTCTCATATTATTTTTTCACCAAGAGTAGTATTGGCCCTTAAAAAGTGGTGGCCTACCAGTGGATTGCCCTTTCCAGTTTTCAGGTGGTACACTCATATTGATCTTCTACTAAGGTATTAGCCTCTTCAAGGATAACCTTCTCTGATATAAATTGATGTTTTATACTTCAATGCCACACAAGAGGGGGTGATTTAAGTGGTGTCCAATTTTCGCATGCACGAATTATAGAAGGACCTGGTTCTTCTATGTGTTCCTTATACTACTATTGCAAAAATAATAAATGTGGAAAGTAAATAAAACAAGTATTTTTACGTGAAAATTTAGCACCCCGGAAAATTTCGAAGTACTTAAGTGCTATTAAGAAAGTTAATGTATGCTAATTATATTATTTTGTGTGCAAACGAGGGCTATTAATATGATAAATATCAACTAGATATAATAATAAGTGTACGAGGCATATTATAAGTGATTTGAAGTCCAAGAAGAGGCCTAATTCTAAGCCAAGTGATGAACAACCTATCAAATTAAAGATTTTCGATTCTAGTTTCTAACTCTTTAGACCGTTCGTCATTTGGACACTCCAACAAGAAGTTATGACTAAATTACCAAAAGATGGCAGAATTTTGCACTACCGTGGCGCCCCATGCGGCTCGACTGTGCAAATTTCCAAAACACTTCCAAATTTTGTTTCTAGACATATTTTTCTCTACTGCTCCGCACCACGCAGTGCCCCATGCATCGCAGCTGTGCAAATTTTGGATTTTGTTAATATGAAACGACCCTATTTTAATAAGTAGCCTTTGGGGCTTTATTTGAGACGATTTTTTGGTGAGTTTAGAGAGAGGTAAGAGCATTTTATAGAGAGAAGGAGAAAACCTAATACCCCATCATCCATTATTGCACCAATCTTCAAGAATCAAGGAAGTCAATCACTAGATCATTATTTTTCCGGGTAAGTCCTACTTCTACGCTTTCATTCAAGAGGTTATGAGTTCAAATATATTGTGGGATTGGAAATAGGCCATGCATATGACACAAAGTTGTAGTATGTGGAGTAATGGACTATTTTAGGTAGTTTCTTATTGAAATTGGTTGAGGGATGAAAGGATCTCCATTTTAGAGCCTTGTAGTCTATTTCGCATGTTAGGTGTTTGACAAAATTTCTAAAAGAGTTACATCATGGGAATCCTTCTAATATTAGTCGATTTTCACTATCCTCCTATAGATTGTTTTTGCTAGAATTGTTGGGGCGTTGTAGTAACTTAAGGAAATCTCGACAAGGTATGTTGGCTAAACTTTCTCTCATAGAATTGAATCCCACAGTGTTCATAAATTTTATGTAAGTCCTGAGTTGTTCACTATAAAATTGGCTATTCCGAATAAGCTAGTATTAAAAGATATATGTTTAATATATATTCCGAGTAAGCAAAGTGTCTAGAATTAGGTATTCAAAACGTGTTCCGAATGTTCCTATCGTATTATGTTATCTTTTGGGAATGTGTTCAAGAGTGATATGTGTATTAAATGCTATGTCTTTGAGTCGTGTTTTAAATGAAGGTTATGATGCCAAATTATGTGAGAAAATCTCAATATGTTT